AATGGGAGGAGGGAGACATAAATAATACCAAGAATACTTTAAAAAGCCACAAGGAAGCATTATTTTGTAAGCTTACTTAAAAATACATAAATAAATGCAGAGCATGGCAGTCCACTCCTTTATCCCAGCACTCAGGAGACCGAGGCAGGTGGATCTCTGTGAGATGGAGGTCAACCTGGCTGTAACAGGAAGTTCCTCTGACCACTATGATGACAAGCTATAGCCCCAACTCCATCCCACGCTCTGCAGAATGAGACCACATGAACAGGAGGGGCTAGGGTCACATCAGTCAGGAAAGCCATGAGGCAGGTCTCTCGCCATTTTGTGTGGCTGTCAGGAAGTCACAGGATTTATGTTTGCCTATGGACTTTTCACCACAGCCATAAATGGAGGGGGGCATCTATTCTTCTGTAAGTAAACCAGCACCCCAAGCTCAGTTAGCAAGTCCAATAAACTCATTAGGATTCTTGAAACGTCAGTTTTAGAGAATTCTTGCCTGAAATGTAAGAACAATGGGAGGAGGGAACAAGACACCATGTGTACCTTCTAGCAATGAATTTAACTTTACACTGGTCTATGTAGTGAGTTTCAGGCCAGCTAGGACTACAGGGAGTTCCTGTCTCAAAAAAAAATACATGAATAATATGTATGTATACATTTACAAAATTTAAATGTCATTGTGCCACACAGGATGATAATGCTCCCCCCACCAGGAGCTATAGACTATCTAACAAAACCCCCAGTGCCAGGCCAGAAGAACCACCACTTCCCCATTAAACTTTTAGGAGGGAGATCCAAAAGACCTCCAAAATAGTACAGGCTGTTGCCATTGCCCTTAGTTGCCTCCTAGAACTTGAAAATATGACCCTATTGCTGAGGACACCACACACTCCAGACACAGGACTTAGAAAAATGCAACTGGTAATGATCTGGAAGCCTCCTTCCTGTGGACTAGCTTTCATAGTACTGTAAGGTGCTGTGAAAGCTGCCTAAAGAAGAAAGCAGTTAGTAGTCCTACTGAGCTGCAAAGCCTATGAACCACAGCAGTCCCAGCCTAATAAAATCACACGCACAGTGCAATACTGTCACTTTTATTTTGCTTTGAGACAGGGTCTCCCTGTGGCCCCAGCTGTCCTAGAACTCACTATGTAGACCAGGCGGTCCTTGAACTCACTATGTAGACCAGGCGGGCCTTGAACTCACAGGGATCCACCTGCCTCTGCCTCCCAATTGCTGGGATTAAAGGCATGTGCCACCACATCCACATTGAAACTGTCACTTTTGTCTTTTTTTATTTTGCTTTGAGACAGGGTCTCCCTGTGGCCCCAGCTGTCCTAGAACTCACTATGTAGACCAGGCGGTCCTTGAACTCACTATGTAGACCAGGCGGGCCTTGAACTCACAGGGATCCACCTGCCTCTGCCTCCCAATTGCTGGGATTAAAGGCATGTGCCACCACATCCACATTAAAACTGTCACTTTTGTCTTAGGAGTAACCACAGCTGTCTAATTGAACTTAAGGCCCACTTAAAAGGAGAGAATTATTTTCTGGTACTATAAACTAACCAATGACCCATGACTGGAGAGTGTCTCCTCTACAGACACTAGAGGAGAACCTATTACTGCCATTTTCCTAAATCAGCATTGCCTCTGTGTTCTAAATACCTGTCATTATGCCCACAGGTAAGGGTCCTCCTCATCTCATCAAAGAGCTTCTTCTTACAGCAGGTGCAGGCTACTACTGAGATCCACACCTCGTCAAAATGCAGAGAGTATGTGACCATGAGGTGGCCAGCCCATATTGGACCATCTGTAATACGAACTCAATGCTTAATGCTCAGGGACCATCATAGAAGAGTGGGCAGAAGGGTTGTAAGAGTCAGAAGTCTAGAATGCCTGCTGCCAGATAGTGTCTTCTAGATGTGACAAAGGTGCCACACCCATGAAATAGTATGGCTTCCTAAACCAGATTTACATGATGACAGCACCAGTCGATATGCCAACATGGATAGTGGAATTTCACAAGCCCCCACGGAGATGAAGTGATGCAGGCAGTCAATGGATACTGGGGGGTGAATCAGTTATCACCAGGGATGAGCCCCTGATAGGTTTTCTAATTCCAGGTAGCCATTTCTAAACACTTGCACATAGGAACAAAGCTAAATTGGTTCAATAGAGTTGTAGGGGGAATTTCACAAGCCCCCACGGAGATGAAGTGATACAGGCAGTCAATGGATGCTGGGGGGTGAATCAGTTATCTCCAGGGATGAGCCCCTGATAGGTTTTCTAATTCCAGGTAGCCATTTCTAAACACATGCACATAGGAACAAAACTAAATTGATTCAATAGAGTTGTAGGCTTTTTGTTTTGTTTTGTTTTTTCTGAAGAGGTCATGGATTTGAAAAGGAGTAGGGGGACACGGGAGGAACTGGGGGAAGAGAGAACAGTGGAAACTGTGTAACTGTGTAAATTGCTTCTGTCTGTTATTTGTCACAGTGGCAAGTAACACAATATGAATTATAAAATTAGTCAATCAAAATAAGAAACACTGCAACTTCTACTATTGTTTAGAAATAAGTGAGCAGAAAAAATGTGTACTATAGAAACACTTTCAGTACTAAAACTTATTAAGGCAAGCAAATTAAAAATAACATAGATAAAGAAAATACTTAATACAATGTAATATTCTTCAACTGGATAATGTTATGAATATTGATTCCATAGAGGCCATATTATAAATAGAGATTCTATATTTTGTTGCCAAGGGAAAAACAATTTCATACATGCTTTTTACTATTTTGTTTTCTGTCTCATTAGACACTATCCTCAAACTTCCTTTCCCACTTTGGATACTCTTTTAGATCCCCTTGTGCTCCTTATACTACATTCTCTAGTGGTTTTAATTCAATAAATTGGCCTCGAGCCACTTTCAGATAAAATGGATAAATTTGAAGTACTTGACTTTTACATAAATTGGATGTAGAAACATTGCCAAACAAGTTTAAAACACTTTCTAGACACACACACACACACACACACACACACACACACACACACACACACACGTGCTAACTTTGGATAAATGGGAAAATTCACACCACAACATTAGAATAATCAACAAGTTCAGTGTATAGTAAATGTTTTTAAACTTGCCGATATCCCCTAATTATAACTATAATACTGTGCCATATTTTCACTGTTCCAGCTATTCTGAATATTGCCAAACTCTATGAAAACCTGAGGTAAGTTGGACAAACAGAAGTCTGTAGTGAAAAATTAAATTTCATCATTCATTCATTTATTTAACAACTAAAGATTCAGGTAATTTCCAGTAATATGCAATATGTGGAAATAAAACTCATAAATTTGCCATATTTAAAAGGGATATAAAACTGTTAACATGTTTTGTTTTAGATGATCAACTTATGCTTTTTCTGTTATTTGAGGGTAGAAAATTACTATTTCTGTGTCTTTATGTTCATATTGAAGTGCAAGTTATTTCAGTAAAAAGTCTAAGATCAATTTTGACACTTGCTAACCACCTAATTAATAAATGTTGCACAATCTCTCGGAACATCAGGGATCATTGGAGAGTAAGGATATAAACTGTATAAATGTGCTTTAGGGGCTGAATGAGTTTAATGCTAAAATTTTCATTCATTAAAATAGTGTATTTAACAAATTGAAACCGCTATTAAAACCTTCCCAAGGTTGAGAATTCCAAATTTATAAAATAACAAGGTCAACTTCTTTTTAAAGCTACAATTTTGATTTATTGATACATATTCAGAAAAATGAACATCCAATTTGAATCTGGGACAACAGTGAAATTTCAGATCCATTCTACATTCAGTCTGTG